GGCGGAGCTCAGACCTTCCGACTACCAGCTCCTGAAGATCTTCATCGTGCTGTAAGTGTGCCGAGGGTGGGAGGACGGGGGGGCTGTGCCAGGAGGATCCGTCTCAACCACTGGCTGCTGAGCGCTTGTGTTTGTTCCTCTGCTCCCAGCATCTGCCTCCTGGTCGTGTCCTCCTCGTACCTGGCGTTCCGCATCTTCCGTCTGGAGCAGCAGCTCTGCTCTCTGAACCGGGACTACCTCTCCCGTGGGCAAAGGAGGTGAGGGATGCCTGGGGACACTTTGGAGCAGCAGAAAACCTGAGGAATGGGATGCAAAGAGCAGCGGCTCTGCTCCGTGACAAATCCCAGGGATGCTTTGTCCCTTTCCCTGCGCCTGCTGTTGGGATGGCTGTCCCCAGCATGCCGTCCCCACGTGATAGATGATCCCATTGGCTGCTGGGATGGGGTTTGGTTTGAGTGATTGAGGAAAGCTCTGCTTTTCTGAGACTTTTAACCTTTGGAAAAATGTTTCCTTGAGGATTTGGGGCTGGTTCTGGTCGCAGGAAGCAGCAGGGCATCTCCGTGGAGCTGGGCTGCGCCCTGGGGCTAATGCAATGGCAGGGATGGACAGGAGTGGGTTCCCTGGGGCTGGGGACATCCAGGGCTCTCTCCTCTCATCTTACCCTGCTCTCTGCTTGCAGGTGACCGTTACCCTAGCGCTGGCTGAGGACAGACACCGAGACAGCGGCACCCTGCGGATCCTGGTGCTGCATCCTCCTGGCCGTGGCCGTTGCCCATGGCCTGGCTTTCCCCCAGCCGGTAAAATGGGACCAAAAATCTTCTCTCTTCCTACCAGCGCCCGCTCCCGGCGGGATCGCCTGGCCGGCTCCTGCCCACCGGTGCCAACTCCCTGTCCCACTGGAAACCTCTTTTCTTCCTGGGACGCTGCTGCGCGGTGGCGCCGGACGATGGCTCGGGGCTGCCGGGCGGTTGGACCTCCCCTTAGGACTCGCTGCTAAAACGGGCGCTGATTTTTACTCCAGACTTTGATTTTTTCTTAAAAGATGACTTGGGGCTCACCGGGAACCCCAAAAAATGTGGCTGGGTTGCTGCTGCTGTGCTGTGTGAAGCTCGGCAGCGGCTCTGGGCTGAACTCGCCCATTTGTCTCCATCTCTGTACCCCCAGGGGGTCTATGGTGACGAGGAGAAAGGGGCCACCAAGGTTGGGGTACAATCCCAGGCCCCCCCAGCTCCGCTGTGCTCTGTACTGGCCCCCAGCCTGTCTCTCCCGGAGCACCAGGGCATTTTGGGGGGGTTATGTGCGTGTGTGTGTCCCTGCAAAGCACTTTAGGGTCCCCCAGACCAGGCGTCCTCGCTGGGGACCGCACCGGGGAACGGTGCTGGACCAGGGCTTCGTTAGCCCCGCTCACCCCATTCAGATGTCCCAAAAGGAGCCTGCGGATGGCACCAGTGCACTTTGTGGATCATAACGCGTCTGTGCCCTGGTTCGTGTTAAATCTGTCGCGCTGCAGAGCCGAGCGTTGGGGGATTTATCCCGCAGGATTTATTCCGCAGCAGGGGTGGCAGGTGATAACTGTGTGATTCCTTTTGGGTTTTTTCTTTCCTATTTTTTTGGGAGCTACAAGTGCTGATGGGGCCAAATCCCTGTGCCCTGGGGAAGAGCTCATTGCTTGCTCTGGGCTTGCAATGGCTTTTAAATGAAAATAAAATCAGGATTTTCTAGCACGCCCCTGGCTGCTGCCAGCATTCTCGCTGTGGTGCTGACGTGTGAGCCCCGAAAACAGGGAGTCTGCGTATCCCTGTGCCCGTTCTCTGGCTGTGCCCCCAGGATGTGGATTATGTGGGGACAGCCTTGTCCTTGTGTCCCTTGGCAGGGGGGGTGGTGTCGCCCTCTCCTCTCTTTGGAACAGGGCTGCTGGATTTTGGGGCAGTGTGGCCCCCAATGTCACACCCTGTTGGGCAGGATGGGGTGCTGGTGGGTGCTCAGCATCATTTCTCCACACCAGGGATCCCTGCGTGCCACTGTGGCCATGAGTGGGGACACCAGGCTGGGCGTGCAGCCCTGGCTGGGGGACCAGGGTGGTGGCTTTTGGGAGACACCCAGGGCTGGGGACGCTCCGGGTGTAGGGGACAAGGAGGATTTTTCACTAGGTGGCAGCAGAGACTGCGGGATGTGACGCTAAAGCTGGTGGCAGGGCCACCCTGGGGACAGCGACTGCCTGGGGAGGGTGCTGACCTGCAGCCCCACGCTGTGGGGTAGGGTGAGCCTTCCTCCTCTTCCTCCTCCTCCTCTTCCTCCTCCTCCCTGAGCGTCTGCAGCCTGGCCCACACAGTGAAATGCACGAAAACGGCCCAATGTGAAGGCCACAGCAGAGGTGATGGTGGCTAAATGGGAACCAGGGTGGTGGCACCCTGCACTGGTGTCACCACAGTTGCTTGATTTAACCTTATTGGCCCATTTCTGGGGAGATTTAGCACCCTGGGGTACCAGAGGGGATTTTATTTGTCCACATCTGCAGCCAAACTATCAAAAGCTGCTGCTTCAAAGGCCTGGTGTTACCGGGTCGTTGGAGCCTTTGATTTTGTGGGAGACCCTGCAGAGGAAAGGTGACGTCCTGCTGCTGCCCTGTCCCTGAGGACTCGTGCAGCTCCTGAAATGGGGATTTGCACCACACCAGGAGGGTTTGGGGTTGTTTTTTATCTAAAAACAAGTTGGCGCTAAGCGCGTTCAACCTCAAATTCTTAGCGCATGGCCCTAAGAATGAGGTTTAGAGGTTCAGAATTGGGTTTTTTTTTTTTTTTGGTCTCATGCCCAGCCTGGTGTTTTTTGGGTGCTCCACAGCACCCCATACAAACCCTTGTCCCCGTGCCGAGGCCTGGCCAGGTGTGTGACAGTGGCAATGGCCCACCTCGGCTCCTCTTGGGGCTCTTTGGTTAAAGCCAGCGGTGGGACAACTTGGTGCAGTCAGCTGTTGCAGAGGAGGTTTGGGGGAGCCCCTGGTGTGGTTTGGGGAGGTCCTTGCTGCCACGAGCCAGTTGCAAGGCTCTGGTTTTATTTTCCAGCTGGTGTTTGCTCTCTGGGTGATGCCCTGCTCGAGCTTATTTGCTTTTCTTTGTGTAAAGAAATGCCACGTACGTAAAGCCTCGGGTGCAGGAAACGACCCCGGGTGGCAGCCCTGCCCTGTCCCTCTGGGATGGGGACAAGGAGGGTGGTGTGCCCTCCAGGTGAGCACAGCCCCTCCCCTTATGTCCCCTTGATCAAACCCACCATCCTGCTCTCCTCCCCGGCCCAAATCGACCCGTAAAATTCCAATGAGGAGATTCAATCAGCCCGTGTGGGCTCCTCCCTGTCACACAAGGTGCTGGTGGATGACAATGACAAGCGCAGGGTTTGGTTTGAGTTTTATTTCAGAGTGGCAGTGATGGTGCTCCAGCAAAGTCCCCACAAAATTCCAAAGGGAATCCCCTTCGGCACGCACCTTGATCCCCTTTCAACCGCCTCTTGGGTTTTCGGCTCCATCCGAGTGGTGGAAGGGGTTTTCCAGGGAGGGCAGCCGAAGAAGGAGGGGAACAACCCCGACCCTGTTTTGCCCCACTGCTGCCCGCGTGTGTTCACTTGGGGGTTTTGGGAGAGCCTGGGCCATGGAAGGTTAAGCTTGTCCTACAGCTCCTCACCCTTGGTACGGTGCTGGGTTAGCAACACAATGGGTGGAGAGCTCCAGGTTAAAAATAATCCTTCTCCCTTTTATTGTCCGAGGGTTATATTTCACCTGGATTTCCCTGCTCCAGTTGGCGCGCTGGGGCTGGGGTGTGGTTGCTCTGCTAGACGCCACCTGGGCAACCTGCTCTTGGCTTGGCGTGAGGTTAGAGATTATTCCTTATCCTGCAGCTCATTATAATTTCTATTTTCCCTACTAAGTCGGTCTTTTAACAAGAGGATCTGCTCTGAGATCCCAGCCATCGTCCAGCACAAGAGGAAAAACATTTCGATCAGGAGTGTACTAAGGGCTTCTTGGGATTCCGCAGTTATCTTTGGCTTTTATACCTCAACTCTTGTCCTTTTGTTCTCCCTGGTGTGTTTTTTCAGTCTCAAGTAACAGAACTGGTTTTGTGCTAGAGGAAGCAGCAACTGCCTTGTACACTCTGAGGGCAGCGAACGCTAATGAGGGCTGGGGAGCGCTGACAAACTCTCCCTGAATGGAGACGACCTAAAATCGTAATGAAAAAAAAAACAACTTCAAAGAGTGAGTGTCGCTTTTCATCTCTATTAAGTTTCGTTTCCTTGGTTTGGGTTTCTCAGCTTCCTATTAATCTTCCAGCAGGTCAGAGTCGGGTTTTAATTTGTAGTAAGAGCAAGCAGGGGTGGGGGATAAAAAAAAAAGCTATCACCATTCAGGCTAGGAGCACCTAACTGATTTTCTTTTTTGCCCCGTTCTTTAATGAATCAAAGCATTTCCTCTGGCGTCTTGTCTTTTGACATCAACATCTCAGTGTCAGGTTTTCAGGGGTAAGAAATCCTTGCTGATAAATCCTAGACTGCTCAAATACCACTAGCGGGAGGCACAGATTGGAAATAGCCAAGATAAAGCATTTTGGGCTTGGTTTTAAAGGGCATTTGCTAAACCTAGCTTGGAACAGCAATGCTCGCAGCCAGTTAAACCCACCTTAACGAGGGTGTGTTGCCTGCTGGGCAAAGGGGGAGAAGTCTTTTTAGCAAAACCCATTTTGACCCAGCAATTAGTGTAAAAATTCACCATTGAGAGGATTTACTTGAAAATAAAGTGACTTTTCTGGTTAGAAGTTCAAAGGCCAGAGGGGACCTAAGGCTTTTCCAGGAGAGAAGAGGGTGTTTGGGGGGGGTGTAGCCATGCTGGAGGGGTTACATTCTTCTTCTTTCGGCCAATCCTGCACATGGGGATCTCCTTCAGGCACTGGGGTGCTGCCTCGTGGCCTGGGAAGGCAGTTTTTTTGGGGGGGGGAGCAGCTGAAACTGTATCTCGATCATTTCTGTGCCAGTTTTGTGATGAGAGCTTTCCACTCCGATCTTTTCTGCGTGATGTAGGAGGGGGTGAGGAGCTGCAGCAAAGGCTCCGGCCGGCCCCTGAAGTAGCCCTGACACAGAGCCTCGGCATTGCAGATGACGTACATCCCGCAGTCGTAGCTGTTCTGCTGGGTAGGCGTCTTCTCCTCCACAAAAGTCGCTTTGCCCCCTTTTTTCCCCAAGAAAGCCTCCAATTTCCCCGCCGCTTGCTTGGCATGGGCTGAGTTGCATCTACTGTGGGAATCGTAATGGGCAAAGCATTTTTTGTCCCTGAAATAAACCAGTAAGCTCCAGTGGGTGCCTCCGGCAACCTGGTTGGAGTTATCATTGATAGGCAAGAACACCAGCTTCTTGTGGAGCAGGTCCAGCGGTTGGAGGAATATGGCTAATTCTTCCTGGCTAAGGGCACATTTAATGAACTGAGCCACTTCGGGGCTGATAAAACAAACCTGGTCGCTAAATTCTTGGAACTGGTGGTTGGCGAAATATTCGAAGGCAAAGCCGATGATGTGATCATTAAGCCAGTTTGGGGGTTCCAGCAAAGCGATGTCTGACTGCCTCAGCAAACTGTCCATGTAACTGAGAACAACGGGGTCCATCCTGCGCAGGTCGAGGCCGTGGCGCTCCAGGAGACTTCCTAAGCTCAAAGACAGAAAGGAGAGAAGATGAATTATGGAATTAGATCACACCTGAGACAACACAGAGCACAACAAATATCTTGGTGAGCAAAAGCCCAGGTTTCCCAGACGGATATTTGCAGGACCAGACGAGCAGACAGAGGACATGCAGCTCCTTGTCTGCGGTGGGTTGAGCCGGGCAATTCTGCTGCTCTAGGAGCAGCGCATGGCTCTGATGAGATAAATGTTTCATCGCTATGATCTTAACCTCAAAGCAAAGTGATTTCAAAGCAGTTCCTGCTTGGGAACTGCAGGCACACCTGCTTTGCACAGAAACCATATGCGACCTGGGAGAAGTCAACTGGCGTTCTGGTGTTTCAGTGTTTTACCTCTGCAGCGACCATCACAGTAACTCTCTGCATTGCTGGTTTTTCTTAAATAAAATTCTTTTAGGGTCTGACAAGCAGATGCCAGATGTATGACCTGTTCCAGGAAAACCTGCTGGCCCGCCGGCGCAGGAGGCGAGGTGGCGATGAGTAAGGAGAAACAAAGCAAAACAAGATCACAAACAAACCAGTTCCCTACCATGGGAATCTTTAGGACAACTTGACCGAGCCAGTAGAGATTTCAGTAACTCAAATGCCACCAAAGCTGGATAGCCTGCAAATACCGATCGGTTCTTAGCTCAGGTTTTAACTTGCCAAAATTTTACTCGTAAGAGGAGAAAGCACTCGTGGGTACACTGAGGGGCGAGGATTTTTGCAGGCTTCCACCTGTGAACAGTAGTGAGCGGAAAAAATTTCCAAAAATCTTTTACTGTTATTTGTCCAGGCTGCATTCTTCCCTCTAAATCTGCGCCTGTGTTCCACAAATAAATTCTGCTTGTCCTTAAAAAGGTGCCTGGAAATTCAAGTGGAGCGCAGTTCCCCCCACCCACACATTTGAGGACGTACTCAGGAGACATCGACAGCTCTTCCAGGCAAGACTTCTGCCTCCTTTCTGTTTATCAGCTTCTCTGTGTATCCACTAATTCTGTTTTTTCTACCAGTCGTACAATTCCTGTCTACCATCAGCCCCTGACGCATCTCTCTCCTTGCCAGGACAGGGCTGGAAACACCACAGCGGGGACAGTGGTGACAGTGAGGTTTGGCCTCACCCTTTCCTCATGTGTGCCAAAGGCAGCATGAAAACATCTCAGGATTTCTGAAGGCACCGTGGGAAAACTAATAATGATAAGATCACTTTGAAGTGATTCACTACAAATAAGACACTAATTATCCATTATGATAGGGGGAAATGAAAAAAAAATCACGTTGTGTTGTTTACATGTTAGGAAGAAGTAGATTTGTGCTTGTTGTTGTGATGTGAATCATGAAAAAATCCTTCCTGGCCAGGTATGCATAAATTTAAGAGAGATTTATCTCTAAAAAATCTTGGCAAGGTCCCATCGTATGTGACTTGTAACTAAGCGAGCGGCTGAAGCATGCTGGATGTGTCATACGTCGGAAGGAAGGGCCAAGGGAGAGGATCTGGGGCTGGAAAAAGCTAATAACTATTTGTGTATCGCTGATAGATCCAAGACATGCCAAGCAGCGTGAGTCACCCAAAAGGAAGGGGAGCAGTCGTTGGTATTTATATTGAGCCAAACACAATGGTATTTGGACACACTTCCTACGTTAATGAACTCAAACTACTTCCAAGGTTGTGGAGCAAATCCTCTGCAACAGCCTGCAGGATAAAAACAAAACAAAAAATCCAAACCAAGTCCCAGTGACCAGTTTGCAGGTTTAACAGGTTCGCTGCTGAAACACCTTTTGCATGTGCCTATACAATGCTCCAAATTCTCCTTTTACTGCATTTTTTCTGCTTTATCTTCTCCTAGAGATGTACGAAATACAGCAAATAGCTTTCCAGTCGAGTCCAAATGGGATGACAGGCCAAGGAAAGAAGCGCACGTCCTGCATTCTGTTAATTTTCCCACTCTGCAGAAACATCGTCTGGGTTTTTTATTTAAAAAAAAAAAAAAAAAAAGACATTTGGCAGCTTCCTACAGTCAGGAAGGGAGAATGGTTCTAGCAAAGGCTTAATTGCCACTAGCTACTACTTTTAATTTTATTGCCATCTGGTATTTGTGGAACTGCTTGTGAGTTCTGCAGGATGACTCACCGTGTGCAGCTTAAAGGAAAACCCTTTGTAGGCTCGGCTGCCTTTCAGAGCCACTTCAGGTAATCATCGAGGACCCAGAAAGTGTCATGGAGCTGTGAAAAACCATCAGAGATTGTTTTTTGGGGGAGAACCTTCCCATTAAAGCTCAAGATGAATCCCCAGAGAAGCCGGGATGGGGATCTGAGCACCTTTGGCGTGAAGGGGTGTTGAAATCCGGTTGCAGATTGCAAGCGGCTCTGCTCAAACGCTGCCAGGATTTGCTTCCTGAAGGCTCAGGCACGCTCTGTTCAGAGGTTTTCATAAAAACAGGTCTAAATACTGACTCAGGGCTGGAACATTTGTTGTAGGTTGCCAACAAGAGTCTTGCTCGTTCATTTTGTTTGCATATTAGTAGTTGGAATTTGGGCAAACTCTGTCATCCTCAGCTTCTCGGAGGGATATTCATCTGTTCGTTTTGAGGTGAGAACACCGGGAAGAGAAAAAAGGAGCATTTCAAGAAAAACATCATCAAGCCAACCAAGATGAATCCGCCCCTTTTGTTTAGAGATTTGAAAAAGGGGCCATGTGGCATCAACATGGCAAGACATCAAGTTTCTCTCATCTCTAAGTTATAACAACTGAACAAATAAGCTGCTGTCGTTAGCACAAGTTTGATCCATAAACGGATGGGATTCCTTTATGTCCAGGATGCAAGGCAAAGCCTTCACAGAAAAGCCCCAAAACTTATTATTTTCATGGCGTTAAAAACAACTGCCTTCTGCGTGTAATTGTTGCCTTCCACTCTGAAGGCAGCCCTTGAGAGCCCAGGAATGAAGCTCCCTAGTAATTAGTGTAAATAAGCAAAGAGAGGACAAATTAAGGATGAATCAGGTTCCTAAAGTCTATTTTAATAAATTAAAGGTGCTAAGAACATACCACCCAGTGAATATTTTAAGGTGCCGTGTCACTAAACTCCTGTACAAAATTTAAAGAATATGGAGGCAAATACATAAAGCCACCTGAAAAACAATGATTCAGGCTTTTCTAGGGAAGAGTAGGAGGGACAGAGCAGTTTTTGGCAGCTTGGCTGAGGTCCTTGGAACGATCAAGAGTAAAAGGCCCCATGACTGAACCACCAGACCATTCTCTTTTACTGGAAATGGTTTTTAGACAGGATGTCAGTGCTCTTACTGGCAGCAAGATCAGACAAGAAACATCAATTTCTCTTTATCAGTGTGAGCCAGGCTGGGATACCAGCACCTGAGTCGCCCGACTTATCTGTCTCCTAACATAGTCAGAGAAGAAATTCAAGCAAAATTAAACAACTCAGCCAGAAAAGAAACATTCTCCTCTCTTCTTTTGTTAAAAATAAGCAATCTCTTTGAGCCTATAGATGATAATTTGTGTATGATACAAGAATGCAGCCCATGGGGGCTCAATAGACCCTGAATGGCAGACTTGGGAGAAAACATTCATAATTTCTGCATGCACAGACAATGCCCAAACCTTTCTGTTCCCTGCGAATTCCCCAAACGTGCAGCTGCTCTGCAAAACCAAACTCCAGAACCCTCTGTTTTGTTTTCCAACATCTCAGTAAACTAAAAGGCAGAGGAAGTAAATCAAACACTACTAAATCAAACGGTTTTTGCTCCCCAGGACGGAGTTGACCAAAGCATTAGGTTTAACAGGAAAAAAACCCCAGGAACCTGAACGCCCGAGGACGAGAGATGCCACCGCGACTCTCCCAGAGGTAACGAGGAGAAACCCCTCAGCTTGGATCATCGAAACGGTGTTCAGCTGGATGCTGATGGATCGCCTTCACCTACTTTGAGAAAGAGTTTAGTCAAAAGAGTAGCGGGAAGCGCTGGGAGGGAATGCCAGTTGCCTGACAGATCTAAAAGTCGCAAGAATTCGGTCCTGAGCAGGAGTCCTGTCAGAGGAAGGGCCTGAGGGTGTCATGGCTCTGTGGAGAGAGCCCAGGAGGAGGAGAGATGACCCCCAGCTTCTCCCACCACTTCAGGTGGTGCCGGTTGGGATCAGAGGACGTGAGCAGCCCCCGGGAAGCTCTGGTTTGTCCTGCTGCTGCTCAGGAAATAAATGAGAAGGGAGAGGAGAGGGGAAGGAAGACGAGGAAAAGATGGGGAAGAAGAGAAGGAGAAGAGGGAAGAGGAGATGAGAGGACAGGGCCGGGGCCATGACTAGGGTGGGAGCAGGGCCCAACCGGTAGCACCGCTGCCCGCTCCC